AAGGAAACTACCACATATCCTTTTTGCAACTGGTGGTCTAAGAGGCATCACAGTAATTATCTGCTCCTTACTACCAAGTCTAAAATTCTTCTCTAAGACATCACATGTCCCTTTATCATTTCTTTGAGTGTCTTTCAAATTGTTATTGTTTCTGTTTGAAAAGTGTTTTTTCCTCATTTATTTCTTTGAAATGTATTTTGTTTATCCCTTTCCTTGAGAAATATACAGTATTTGCCGGCATATTAGACATGGATTCTTTCTATAAAAATGCACCAAAAATTGCCCTGCGTCCAATACAGCAGTATCATTCATGTATGAGAGGGACATGAAGACCCATGAAAAAATTGGGGTTCACCAGGAATCAGTGCACTGATAGCTTAGCTCTGAAATTAGGATACTTGGAAGTAAACAAACATGATACCAATAAAAATATCCTTGAAAAATTCACCCAAGAAAAAGAAATTTATAGAATTGCAGAATATTTTGCTGCTTGCTTTGTGTGTTGTTATTGATATATAGGTATTTAAATTTGCTTTTCTGCATGTGTGGTATGGGACTTGATTTACCAACAAGTACTATATTTCTGCCAATTAGCATATGTACCAGTGTTAACTTTTATAGTAGATTTCTTTGTAGCTATTATGAATTTACTGTATGTGCAAATGTTGATGCCTGAAAAATGACTAAAACAATTTTCAATAAATGCATCATGAACTGTACTAAAATTCTTCTTTACCAAAAAAATGTCCTGGTAATTAAACCTTACCTCAGTTCTATTAAACAAAAAAGTACCATTAGTATAATTTGTGCTAATACTTTAAGTATTTATTCATGGTTAGTGAAAATGTTATAGGTTATAATTTTGTTTTCTTGGTTGTAATGTGTTTATTTTTTTTTTCTAAATATTCCATACCAAAATCTGGGTGTGTCCAATGTGTGGATGCATTCAATAGGCTTCAAATATGGTATTTGTTTCCAGTTTTCATGGTGCATTTCTTAAATAAAAGGATAGCATCAGTATGGAGTGTTGACCTTTTTTATTAAAACCAGCTGTCAGTTAAATCTTGTGGTAAATTTATCTCTCTTAATCTCCAGTGTGCAGCTTTTTTGCACCACTATTGAATCAGTTCTTTTGTAAGCTAGTTGGGATATACACCTACAGACTTAGAATTGTGTTGAACATCTCATAGAAAAAGCATCCCACAAATAACCAGCTATATCAGAAATAATTTACCAATGTCAAATGCTGGACACTGCTGGTGTGCCAAATATGAGCTAGTTAGCAATTGGAATCCTATACGCAATCCCACTCGGTTTAATCATCCTGCAAAATCATATTTTGATCAGCTGCACTCCTCCCTGGTCCTTTGAACAGGAGTAGTGCTTATCCCTTGTTTCCTGTTTAGGATCATGTTCCTTTTCATTTTCTTTCACTTCTAGTAACCACTTGCATCTTAATTTACATTATTGCCTTACTTGGGGTGAATTGAAAATAAATTAAAAAAAAACTATGCCTAGATGCTGGAGGTGCCCCAAATGACCTCTGACTTTCATATGCATGAAATATGTGACTGTGATAGGTAGTTAAGCTAGCTCAACCAAATAAATGTCCAGCATGCAGTAAGTAAGATATTGGCACCCATACCAAGGTGGTTTGCCGATAGGTCTCCATTGGAGATCAATCATTTTGAATTCTTGTGCTCTGTAATTTGCAGTTGTGAAGTGAGTAGCCATGGTCAAATGCGAAAGAAATAAGAAAACTGTCCAACAAACAAAATTGACAAAGTTTGCAATAACAAGAGAAAGAAAAGAAAGGAACAGGAAAAAAAAATAATATAAAGCATGCAAACAATATATGCAAGGCAAAACAACAGTAATATGGCAAAAAGATTCACAAACTAAGAATTGTCAATGACACACAAAAGCAAATTCAGACAAGTGAACATAGCCTTCTGACTTCATGACAACAGATTGGGACTGAGTCAGATGAAACTGAGAACTGGCCTATTTTATTGGCTAGGAAAAAAATTCCCAGCATACATTTATGTGCTGCTGCCTATAAAAGTGGAGGAGAAAGTATTTTGGAATCATTCTCAGTAGAGAAATTTTTCCTGGTAGACAGGCAGGTCCTTGAGAGGGTCCTTTCCTCTTGAGGCTTCATTTAAATGTACCTCCAAAGACTTGCTGTCTATGGGGGATTCCAGAAATTTTCCTAACGTCCCTAGAGTGATTACCCTCATTAGGGAACCTCAAAGTTTGGGATCACTTGGCAGGAGCAAAAGACGCATTCCTGAAGGATGGCACAAATAGAGTCTCCTGAGCTTTTGTGTAGGGAGGGTCCCAGTGTTGCTCCACCCCTCACTATATAGGACCCTAAAACTGACTTTCCCAATGGATATTGACGGTATTGTTACAGATAGACAAATTACGTCTGACATCAGTACTGAAAGTCTGGGATAATCCGTCTGGGTCTTGATGCTTACAAATTTTTGTCCAGTCTGTGTTTAAAGGAACAAACATAATATCGATCAAGATAGCCAGGGGCTTAAGAGATCAGAGTAAGGCTTCCTGCCTACTTCGTGATCTCCTGTCCTTCAGTGTGGATGTGGCCGCTATCCAAGAGACACACTTTGTTTGCAATGTTGATGCTCATGTACTATCTAATGACTTTGTTGTCTATTCAGCATATGAGGATCAGCTGGCTACAGGTGTTTCCTCACTGGTTAAATTTACCCTGGATGTGAAGGTGGATCTTGTCCATGTCGATGCGGGGTTTGGAGGGGCTTTGATTGCGGCCGATATTGCCGTGAACTGTAGGTCATTTTGGACCATTGTGGTTTAATAAAACCCCTAGAAAGGGGGAAACTTCATACCTTGGATTCCACTGTTGAATCTACACCAAAGAAGTATGAAATGTTTTGGTAGCTTAGTAAATTGGTTGAGTTGACAACGTGTAATTCATTTGTCAACTGCCCTTGTTTGCTTTATGGTCTGTATTTATAGCTTCCTTTAAGCAGGTCCTGGCTCACAAAAAAATCCCTCGAAAATTCAAGGGAAACATTGTCTGTGCTTGATTAATAATTTTGAATGTTTTCAACACTACCAGAAGTACCACTAGGACCCTATGCATAAATAACTGATTTTGGTCATTCGACTCCTGACTCTTGAGATGAAAACTTTCGGTTGACCCGACAAAAGAAAAACATTTGTTTTCATGAATTAAGAGTAAACAGATTTGTATTTTGAAAGAACTGTTAACCTGCATTGATAATTTAAGGTGCACAATGGAAATTTTGTGCAAGGTCAATATTGTAATTTGTACAATATGTATATTTTAAACAATCTTTTTTTGTTTCATTAATAAGTGTGTGATGTTGATCATCATCACACACATACATACATACTTATGCAAATTCAAATTATACAACAACAAGCATTCATTGGATAGTAAATCAACACTACTGTGTAATATGACAATTTTATAATTGCTATATTTTCATGTAGTCGATTTTGTGCACTTTTGGGAGAATCAAATCCCAGAAGCTTTTCATGGATCTCCCCAAAGCTCGCTCACTGATTGGTCAATGCTAACCAATCAGATTGTCTACACGTGAAGAGTGATTCTTCCCGTGCAGCACTTTTGGAGCCAATGATCACTTATATAAGCAAAGAAAATTCTTAGTAAACCAGTGAGATCTCAGCTGTTACAGAAATCCACGACAGTTGAAATCATGCGCCAACCTTCTCACTCACACCACCACTCACATGCTGAATATTCCCTATACTCACATAATCTTTTTTCTTACACAGCAAATCTGTTGAAAACATTTATTACCTGAAACTATTACAACCTTATTGCTGTCAGTGAACTTTGGAACAATTGATAGTTAAAGAGAAACAACTCTTATTTTACTCAATGCATGCAATTCTTTCACATCGTTGTTTGTACATCTTGTTAAATACAAATTTTATGTGTAATGATGTCTTTGGCTTATCCTCTTTTTCTTCACGTCAGTTTGGTTTCCTAATCTAAGTTAAATAAATGTGGTGAAGTCCGCCACATGTGTCTGGTCTTTCCATAAGTGCCTTTAAAAGTGTTTGTAAAGGGAAGGATAAGAGATTTGAAATGTGTAGGGACATTATTATTAATAAATAAAAATAAAAATATAAAATAATAATAATAATAAATATCATAAATAAAATAAATAAAACCAAAATAATAAAAGTCCTCCAAGCATGCAATGGAAAACTTTCCTGTCTGAAAACGGATATTTTGTGTCAAAAAACAGCAAACTCACTCCCTTTGCTATGGACCCTATAAAGGGTCAAGATATCCATTTCCTCTCCTTGGCACCTAGTTCGTCATAAGATGAAGTAACTTTCTTCCTCTATTACATACAACCTTAAAAACACATATAATTAAAATACACACACACACACACACACACACACATACACTAGTACACAAAAATATATAAAAATATATAATTTTAAATTGTTAATCTTAGTCTTTAAGAGGTTAAGATTGTAGTAATTGGGGAAACATCCTCTCAGGAGTCTGTTCCACAAAGTAGTGGGAAGAAGCTGTATGTGTGAAACAATTTAGCATGGCTCTTTTGTTTTTTTCTTTTTCAATAAATAAAAATAAAAACATGGCACAAATCTGATACTGAGTTTAGGTGAACTTGTCACTCAAAAGTCTGTTACATTTTGGTGGTTATATATTTCGATCAATACCACAATCCCATCAAAAAAGAAATCTGTAATTTCAAGTCAAAAGAGAAAAAAAGAAACAGAATAAAATGAAACAGTGTCGAATTTAGTTTATAAGATTTTTTTCGTTTGTTGTCAAAAGATAGTTGAAATGATTTTTAATAAAAATTCGTTTTGAATTAGAAAACAATTTAAACTAATTTTGAGATTAGTCTGCTCAACGCGCATGCGTTGAATACTGACCTTCCTGTTTGACAGATGCAAGGTCACAGAGGTCATAAAGCAAAATGGTGGCTCGTCTCTTTCGCCCCGTCAGCCGGCTTAGTTCGGTTATTTCTCAGGTAAATATGTTGTTTTTATTACTGTCAATGAAAGCACAACTTTTAAGAAACAATCAGGAAGCAGTGCAGTTTTTGGCATTTCGCCCTTGTGCTTATTTTTTCTTATGTTGCACTTTCTTACCATTGTTGTCGACAGAGCAGTCATTTACTTTCTTTACGAAGGTGTGAGTAAATAATTATAATTGCCAAGAATGTAAGCAATTTATTTATTAATGTCAGTAAAATTACAGTTAGTTGTATTGTAAGCCATATAGACTGTTCTTTTTGGCCGTTCATTTCTGTTTTTTTTTTTAAGTACATACCATTTTTTACATCCTTTAACTTAAAGTTGTAAAAAGTGATTATTATTCAGTCGTGTCCTGTCTACAATCACATGTACATTTTTTTTATTCACTTCCTTGACTAAACATTATCATAACAGATTTGTAATGATAAGTTAAATTTTTGCATTTTAAAGAGAAGATTTGTTTCCTTACTCGTTATTTCAACTTAAATTCATCGTGAAAAAAAAATCTAAGATCAGGATCTGTTAATTCATTCACGATTCCAAGGTGCCCTTCTTTACCGTTAGAAGAGATGCTGTTTTTTATTCTCTCTCTCTCTCTAATTAAAGTCGAAAATTCAGTCATTCCCTTTTTTATCATAATTGTATTTGGAAAATTATTTTTTAAAACTCTATAAAAATATAGCGTTTGTTGCTTAAATTCTTGTATCGAGTCAATTAAAATCGTATTTTTTTAATCGTTAATTAATCAATACAATTAGTTGAAACCAAAACCCATCTTTTAAAAAGAAGACATTTTTTCCCTAGAATATAAATTAGTTTTCGATACTTAACCAAATAGGACAAAATAGTCTTTTCTGAAGCTTGATTCACCCAAACAAACGAAAGATTTTTCGGAGAAAAAAAAAGATAAACTTCTGAAAAACAAACAAAAAAAAAAAAAATAAGCAAAATATTTCAAGGTTGACATTTCTTACGCTGCCAATTTAAAAAAAAAAAAGCAAACATAAAAGTTAAAAGTATGTTTTATTACTTTTTTAAATCTTGTCTGTTTCATGATTACAACATAAAAAACATTCAATGTCAAAAATTAGAATGTGGAAAGGATGTATTGTAAAGTAAAGAGCTCAAATTTTTATTTATTAACAAACTGAACATGCATTACATTACATTTACAAATTCTTTTTCTTAGGCTCCAATAAATTCTTCTTCAAGAAAAGATGTTTACGTTTTATTTTTTAAGTTTTAACTTTAAACATGTTGTTTTAAAATAAATACGGTTCAATGCATAATTTATTTAAAAATTTAAGTAGATGAATTGAATCTCAGTACTCTCGTCAGTGAGTGGATTATCAAAGAAAGAAAGCATAAATAATTAATTACATTCCTTAATTTTTAAAGGAACCAAGCATAAATTCATAATATATTTTATTAAAAAGAAGTAATTTAAAAATATTTAAACAATTTCAGAAACTTTAGTTTTTAACGGGGGTTGACTTTTTCTTTTTTTTTTTTTTTTAATCGTGTACGATTAAAAAATCTAGTCAACCCGTTAAAAAGTAAATTTTTTAAAAATATTGTTTTTTTTTGTTTTTTTTTTCGTGTTTTTTGTCTATTCTGGAAAAAAAATAACAGGAATTTATCAAATGATATCACTCTTTTCTAATTACAACTTTTAATAAATTCATTTCGAAGTTGTTTCCTCAAATTGTGGTACACATTTAAAAACGAGTTTTTAATCCCCTGTGAGCAAAGGAGCTGCGAATTTTTTTTTGCGGAAGCGCGTTTCATTTTCAAGATTGTCTATCACGACTTTTAAGACAAACGAATCATCTCAAATCGTCAATAGCTCGGCAGCACTCTTTGTGTCAAAGTTTTTTCAAATTCCTATTTTGGCCTGATCTCGTGACGTTTCACCATATTTGAAGTGCTCCCTCGGTGTGTGGTGCTGGTTAGTGTGCCTAACTCTGGTGACAATTACGACTGAGTAGTGTTTTTTATTTTTCACTGAGTGCCCCATACAAAAATCAGTCATTAAATAACCCAGCAATAGTTAACATGTGTAAAATCAAATAATCTACCTTTTGAGTTTCAAATAAACAGGCCAGGATTGTTATTATTTTTAATAGAAAAATCCAATCTGGACATCCTTATCCCAATCACCCCTTTTATTAAGTATCAGGAAATCTTTTCCCACTCCTCAATTTAGCTAGCAAGTATTTGAGAACAAAAAGCATTTCATTATTGAAAATTCTAACAAAATTCCAGTCACCTCTTCCAACCACTTCATCTATTTGAAGCTCAAGTGTAATCTAACGTACATTTGAAAAGCAAATATCTCTTGTATACTTGGTCTCCGGTCAAATCATGCTGAAAACACTGGTTCTTGTTCAAAGTCACCAAAGTGTTGAGCTTGGTCATTTTTTTGATGGTGTTATGCTCAGTTGCAATTAAATCTCTTTCTGAGTCATTCTGCACGTTGGCTGGATATGAATGCCATGAAGACAGAGAATGAAATAGCAAAAGCTGTTTTCTGTGCATTAGGCTCCCTGAATCACATCCGGTCTATGAAGTGAGTTCCAGTAGTGGCTAATTGCAAACATTCCCGCCGGAGAGAAAGAGATGGCCCTGGGGACTACCAGATCCGCTTAAAAACAAGTTTCTGAGAACAACACCAGCGGTTGCAGCCTGGCATGGTGTTGGCTGTTACAAAAAGGCACTGCTGCCACTGTCACCACCACTGCTGTCGCGCCGTGACCATTGCCACTGCCTCTAAATATGATCACACCTCTCAATGGCTGTTACCACTCCCAGACATGACTATCCATTTTCATGTTGATAACATTTCAACCTTGTCACCTCAACAAACGCCTGCCACGAGCTGCTGACTATCCAGCTTAAACACCGCCCAACTACAAGGCTTCATTGTCATCGGCATATATCAACATGATAGCATCTCAACTTCAACTCCACCCAGCTACAAGACTTCATCCCTGACGACAATGTCACCTTGTGCAAATACCAACTTGATAACATCTCCACATCAGCACCGCCAAACTACAAGCCTTCCTCATCACCAGTGCCATCACCTTCGCAAATCCAAATTTGCAAACAAGTGACTCCGACTCTGCAAGCAGTAACTCCGACTCTGTAAATCAAGTGACTCTGCAACCAAGTAACGACTCCACAAGCGGCAACTCCAACTCTGCAAAACAAGCGATTCTGACTACCATTCGACCTACCAATGTGACACCAATCTCACTAACCATACCCTGTGACCCCACTCCAAACCCACACAAGAATTAGGTTGACTCCTGGCACTACCCTTACACCAGATCGCTACCCTGACAATTTCTCACTAAAATTGACATTTCATGTAACTTCGACATATCTGTACAATATACTACCCTCCACCTTGACCTTGGCCAGACCAGCACAAGAAATAGGTCAACTCCTAGTGCTACCCTTACACCTCACTGCCATCCTGATGACCAGCTACTGAAACGAACATTCCATCCATCCTTTAACATCTCTGTACAACATGCCAACAATAAATGTTCAAATCTAATCCTCATTATTCCTTTCTCTTGCTACCAAACGCTTAATATAACAATGGGCAACTCCTTGAGAATGTTGAGCACTGTGAGAAACCTTGGCCTTAAAACTTGAGTCATGTTCTTAAATAGCCTTGTTAGATCGAGACTTTCATATGGATGCCATATATGGTGCCAAACCCATTTACAAATATTTAAACTGTCAGCTGTATACAACAGCTTTCTAAGATCAATGGTGAAAAAAATCTTTGAGCAAGTAAAGCTTGAGGGTCTTGGGAAAAATTCTCCTTTTTTGAACATTGTGAAATGACTCTACAGAATTACAAAGAACTGTATGAAATAGCAGAAACCACATCACTTGAGGACTGCCAACAGTAGAGTAAAGCTTAATACAGGGGAGCATATGACCAAGAACTGTGTGTACTCCATACTTTGCAGTTGTGGCAAAGAATGTAAAGGTGAAACAAGCAGCCCTCTAAAAGTAAGGCTGGTGGAACCTTAAAAAGCTGTAATATAGTGAGGGTTAAGACAATGGCATAAGCCATGACTGATCATGTATGGAGGGAAAAAGTTAGTCATCAGCTCTTGTGGAATGAAGTGAAAATACTGGACAAATAAGAATACTGGGGAGTTAAATATCTGAAAGAATCAATGCATAATGTAGTCCTAGCATAGAAATAAATCCAATATGGGAGCCTCTAAAAACAGGGTGAGCAATAACCGAGCAGTACTAAAAATAAGAACTAGATAAGATATTCCCAGATATGGGCATTTTAGCGGAGAACAGTCTAACCTGTAAATTAAATAAAGGGTTCAGTTTGGAATTAGCTGTAGGTTACCTGGATTGGTATACATCTGATGAAGGCCATAAGTTATAATTGCTGAAACAACAACAAAGATGAGGACAATAGTCAACATTTAAATAGTGTAGATAATGTGCAGTTAATTCCATTATTTTTAGTCTTCTTTTGTGTGCATGAAATACTGATGAAAAATGAGACATTTGAACATTTTTATTTCTCTTTTGTTACAGTACATCAATAATCCGTTTTTTTTTGTTTTTTTTTATTATAAATTCTTAATGTCGTAGCAACAAGATATTTCTGTTATGATTTGCTTTTTATAAAAAGAAACCAAGCAAAATTATTCTTGTTTGGTCTATTCAGAAAGATTATTGGGAGGTACTGTTGCATGATCCCACTTCTGAATATGTCTAAAATGAGACCCAAACTAGGGTTGTGTCAAGAAAAGGTAGATGCTTTATTGGTGGTGGAAAATGGGTGGTCTTTACTGGGGAATGATCTATCACTGCCAAAATGTGCTGTTGTATGCATCTGCAAAGTGTAACAGACTTTCATTGGGAAGTATTTACAATTATGTAAAATCCACTTGTTACATGACAACAGAAGACCAGACTTTATATAGATGACCCATGAAAAACTGTTTCAGTTGGATTGGGATTTTTTTTTTTTAATTGTCCTACTCAACTGATTTGGTACTGTTCAATTAACACATTTTCTGCTTCTTGCAGAACCTCTTAGGATGTCTAAAATCTCTGCCATCAAAATTGTGCTGTAGAACTTTCATTTGAAACCAACTTGATTTTATCATAAAGGAGTCTTTATTTACATCCATATTGACAGAAAATGCTAAATAATATTGAATAATTGATATAATAAAATTTTGTTGACTGCACAGAATATTCTGAAACTTTATCATTAACCAATGAATTTGCCTTTGCATCTCATCAATTTATTTTTTGTAGATACATTTTTTAAAATTTGATGAAATAACTTTTCTCTTTCTTGAAAACTATTGACTATCCACACACAAAATGCAATGTGTATCCAAATATGCACACACACACACACACACACACACACACACACAAAATGAGGGGACGTAAAAGTTCTCAGCCTGGTCCACTGATTAAATCCCCAAAACTTTATTTTTTGTATATTTATTTATTTTGTGGACTTCTTGGCTGGGCCAAATAAAGAACTTTTCAACTACTCTCACTGTCTACCCTACATATTATCCCAGGGTCACAATTTTTGGAACATGTTTCAAATTTTGGAAGGTGACAAGGTGAAAACATAGCAAAGGAAAAACAGGTACTATAGTTGAATCCCAGTTCAACTAGATTCTGAGGGGCTGGGAAGTGTTACCTTAATCCTCAGAAGAATTGCTGATCTATTGAATAAAATTTGTTTTTGGTACTTTATTTTGGATACTATGACTTGCTGGGACATGTAATTGCTTTCTTATACAAGAAATGATTGTAAATATTTTGATGACTGTTTTTGTTGCATTGAAGTGATCAATTTTTTGTTTTTGATTTTAGATTGTTTTTAAACCACAACAAAGCCAACAGTTATCAAGTAAGGTTTGTACAAAATTTCATTTTTTGTTTTTGTTTTATATTGATTCATCTACACAAATTTATGTCAAACTGTAACTTGAGCTACACATTCATAACTATTTATAAGTAATACTTAAAAGGAAAACCAAGAAATCTTAAGTAGAAGATTTGTGTTCAAATCAAAACCATTTTGAAAACAATAACAAAAATAAAAAATTTTAAAACACCATATTTTAAAACTATAGAAGCTTAATGCTTTTTATCTTTTTAAATGATGATAAATTATCTTGTTTGTTTTACAATTGTTTTTTTTTTTTTTATTATGAGAAATAAGATGCTGAATCATAGTCATAAACAAGTGAGAATCTCTTGGAATTAAGACATTTCAAAAAACATTTTTCCTTGTTGGGTGAGATATTTTTATATGACTGCTTTCCCATAATAGTTACTTGCAAGTCAAAAAGTGAGACATTTTGCACAGGCACTCTTCAAACTGTTTCAGGATATAGAGGTACAGATAAGGAGTATATTAGACAATTGAAGAGTACATTTGTATCTGAGTTTTAAATACATGTTTCCATAAAAAAAGTTCAGTATCAGCAGGTGTCATGCCATAAAAATGCACATGGTCTCTTTTTTTTTTTTTTTTTTTTACAATACTGTTCACCCTGTACAAGGACCAAGAGCCGCTTGAGGTTACAAAGTAAGAGTCACAGTTTATAAGGATATGCGGGGAAGATAACAGTTAAATAGGTTACGCTTGTAATGATCAGAGAAGCATCCTCTTGGGAGTTGATTCTAGAAAGTAGAGGTTTGTGGGAAGGAGCTGCTTGAGTTACATCTCACTAATAAAATATGAAGAGAATGAGGGTGGTTTATACAATTAGAGATGTTTGAGAGAGAGGAGTGGAGCAGATTCTGGGTGGCAACATAGTAGAGATGCCCACCAAGATGAAGGCAGCAATAGCAGACTGCACAACGTTCATAGGACAGTTCAGAGCAAATGTATCCACAGGAATGTCAACATAGACCATTGGACTATGGTGTGGGCCAAATGGTGATTTGTAATAATAGTGTTCAGTGATTAGAACAGGTTCTGCCTTCATGTACAAGTGGGGATTATTTGCATGTGCAGCAAGTGACATCTTTCAATTTGTATCTGCCTGTGACACACTGACATTATTGTATTGAGTATCATAAGAACACTTGCTCACCTTTTTTGTGTTTGTAAAGAGTCCACCCTGTTCTGCAACAATTCATGTACCAGGAAGGCAATGTGCAGTCCAGCAAGATAATGTCTGCCTACGTCTTATCCATGATACTCAACATATTCTAACAAGATAGTTAATAACTCTGACCAGTGCAATTACCAGATTGTCCCCCATTGAACATTTATAAGATAACACCTGACTCATGCAGTTAGTCCATTTACATGTTTTGCATCAACAGGTGCAAGAGATGAGGGAATAACATTGTGTGATGATGTTCATCATTTATACAGTTATGTATATATATGTAAGAGTATAGACCTATGTTAAAGCCCAAGGAGAATATACAAGGTATTATTGGGTTGAATAAAAGTTTTGTAGCCTTTTTTAATAGCTGATGTTTGAAAACGTGATTTTGCTTCACATGTGATTGAAATTTGACATATATACAGAGTGTGATGGATAAATTGTTGTCTAAATTATGCAAAAATGAAAATAATGCTTACATCTCATTTTAACATATATATTTACCAAAATTACACAAAAATATCTTGAAATACTAGAGTAAATTTATTCAATAAAATCACCATTGTGTTCAACCATGGCCTTCAGACGACTTCAGAATCTCCTGCAATTCTTCTGGATGCTCTCTTTGTTTAAGTTGGTGAATGCTGCCATAATCCTTGCCTTCAGTTCATCTTTGGTGTTACAAGGAGTTTTGTTGGTTTCTCACTCAACTGCACCCCACACATAATAGTGCAGTCTGGGGAGTTAGGTGGCCAGATGTAAGGGGTGATGTGGTTGCAGAAATTGTCTGACAGCTATGACTGGGTTCTCCTGCTTGTGTGGCATGGTGCAGAGTCCTGTTGCCAAACATAGGGGCTTCCAGCAGCCACCCTCTTGACCCAGGGCAGCACTACCTTCTCAAGGCAGTTGATGTAGGCTTCTGTGTTTAGTCTGAGGCCCTCATAAAAAAATTTGGATCAGAATGATCAAAGTGAATTTTCCAAGCTGCCATACTTTTGTAATCACCATTAGACTCAAAAACTCAAAACCACTAGGACAACACTTTGCTTCTTCTAACCAAGTTGAATCCTTTATCATATCAGCTGAAATAAAATCAAGTAATTCATCAGTTTGGATCAGTTGTTGTTTTGGAGGCTTTCTGAATTCCCTTGTATTCACCAAAAGAGATGATTTTTTTATTTTTCTGAATGTATTGTAGGTACTGGATGTAAATCTCAATTCATTTTGTTTCATTTTCCTTTCAAAATAAATTTCTCTTCAAAATGTTTCATACAGAGAACTGAATTTTTTGTAAGAAACTAATGAATATGACTATCAAATTTTATCCATTTTTTTTCTATGAGATCAGATTTTTCAAGAGGAAAAGAAAATGTCAATTTTTCACTGTTAGTGACATACCCACTAAAATAGCCAAATGCAACATATTTGTTAACCATTTTTGTTAATTGTCCTTGGTAATACAATAAAGTACATCTGACAGCAACGCCTCTGATCAGGAGATTTTGAGGAGTGTGGAACCACCTCTTAATTGCTGGTGTTCCCAGGTCCACTTTGACCCAGAGTTATCTCCTTTTTAGATTAGCAATTTTCTAAGTGGCCATTCACGTTTCTCTTTTTTTTTTTCTTTTTTAACATTATATTGGGCTGTTAGAATTCAACTTGTTATGTGACATGTGGGGTTATATAATACATGTGGGGTTATATAATACATGTGGGGTTATATAATACTAGATGGCCATGAGGCTATCCAATAGTTTTAACAATTGGGCTATAAAAACCCAATTGTTTTCCTTAGTTTCCACCATCTTCAAAATAGTTGCTTTGAGTATTTATATAACAATCTTACAGAGGCATTAATGAGTTTTTACTACAGGTGGCACACGGTATACAAATTTCCTCTATTTTTAGGCCATTCTTATATATCCCATCAGATTTTAAAAATTAACAATGTCTTTTTTTAATTTTCCAGTTTGTGTAAATTGTTGTACAACATTCAGACTATGTCCAAAGTTACTAATATTTATTTGTTGAGTGCTTTTAAGCATTTTTATTCATAAACATTAATCAAGGCCAGTTGTTCTCCAAAATAAATTCTTGTTAATGCTTGCAATTTAATATCATTCAACTCCACTGGTTGAATTCTTTGCTTTTAAACAGACAAGTTGATGCTCTATTAAGTAATATTAACAACAGTTATTGATTATATAATGGTTGACTTGTATTTCTCTAATAATTTGTTTGTTTGCAGCTGTTCAAGTCCTGTATCTGTTGCTTAATTATTCAACAAGTATCTCAATCAAAATAATTGGGTGTCACTGCACAATAATTAAAAATTAAAAAACCTATGAAAAGAAAAAAACTGATAAAAATGCAATCAAGTTAGAATTCTCTTGAATTTCTTTTTTTATATATATGATAAATATTTGTGAGTGAATATAAGGTGTATATACACATATACACACACAAAGATAATAACAATTTAAAACTTTTGTGTGTGTATATATATATATATATATATATATATGTGTGTGTGTGTGTGATGCATTTCTTCTATCCTACAATAGTTGTTGTTATTTAGTGTATGAAATGTTCATTGCATGCAAATGGAATAACTATTATGTGAAGAAGTAGTTTAATATCAATGTCGGCCAATTTTTTGGATAAAATTGCCTTTTTGTATAAAGGTCATCTGCAAAACAACCTGTTGGCTTTTATCTCCCGAGTCACTCCCTAAATGCATTTTGCTGTGACCTTGGAAATATTTCAAACTTAATTATCGCTATAAATCTCTCTCTTTGTCTTGCTTCTACTTCCATTTTTATTCTTATATAGGCTCTAAAGTTTTCATTATCTTCAACTGTTTAATTTATAAAACCATAATGAGATCATTGTAGCATTAACAATGTATTATCTTGAATTTGTCTCCAGTAATGAAATAGAGTGAAATACTGGTTACAATTTTTTTCTGTTAAATTTTATTGCTGGTCTTTTTGAAGTTAATTGTTGTTGATTAACCCCTCCCCTAGCATAAACATGTATATGCATTTTTACCAAAAGTGTCTGTTTTAGACATGGACAAATAAACACGTCCAAAACATAACATTCAAAAAATAGATACAGATGTATTTATATGTCGATCTTGATTCTTTTTTATGCCCTTCTGAGCTTGAAATGAGTCCATTTGCCACTTGTTCAGGTAATTCAAGGTGTGCCTCAGTTTCTGAGATACTATATTAAATGCAAATAAAAAATTTGTTTGAAAATGAAATGGCAGGGAAGTGATTCATTTTATGGAAATCTCTTAGAGTTATACAATCTTTGTACAGTTTGTAGATGGCAAGATATAAATTACATTAGTTGAAGTGTAAATTTATATGACTAGACATTACTGTTAGAACATTTGCCATCATAATAGTGATAGAGTAGTGAGAGGCTAGCAATGTTTTATCTGTGGGATGAGGGTTGTAGGGTGGAGAATAATTCATCACAAAAATCACTTTAGTTTCACTGCAAATGAAAACATTTAATCAGAAAGTATTGAACTGTGAAGATCAAAATTTATATGATTGGATATTACCGTTTGACATAATTTAGAACAGTGTTTTGGATTATTGTCTTTTATTAATCAGAAAGTTTTGAACTATAAAGATCAAAATGTATTGGCATAAAAAATAACATTTTACTTTTTTGTCTGAAGTGCCGGAAGGTGATGCCAATATTTTATCAGAATAAAATATAAAAGATATATTCACCAGAGTTTTAACTGGAATTAAACAGAAAGTTTTATTGGTGCTCTTATAGGAATCAAAACCTAAACTTAAATTTTGAAGAATGTGTGAGGACTGTCATAAGCTTGAGAGTGGATAATGCTTTAATTTTTGTTTCTTAGGAGCTTTTGTTTTTTAATCTGATTTTTCACTATATAGCAGTGAGATTGAGTGTCAGATCTTGCTAAAACAAAGTTTAGATAAGGAAAAAAATTATTATATTTGGTAGGTAAATTTTTAACTTCAAAGTTTTGTGTGCTAATGACATGGTGGTGTTTTTTTTTTTTTTGTTTTTTTTTCATCCATTTGTATCCATGTATACAGCCTTTATCCTCTTTCTCTAAGACTAGCTTGTAACCAAGAGTAGACTATTACAAATTCTTCTGTGAGGAAGGCCAAAATGTACCATTTTTATCCTCTAAGCAAAGTAAATATTAAATCTTACCAATTTTAATTCAAGTTCATTATATTTATTCTCATATTAAACATGCTATAGAGAACCCTTTTGATTTTTGGAACCAGTTCTTTTGAGTTGAACTTGCTATCCTAGTTTAATAGCTTCGTATTGAATTGATTCAGATAATTGGTGTCCTTAATTAATAAAAATGGCGTACAACTATTTAAGATTATCTGTGTTTTAATTTAGAACACCATTTATTCATTTTTGAAAAATAATATTGCAATGAAACTTGCTATGCTATTGATGAAGGTCTTAATTTATTGTGCATAATTTTTTTTCTTGAACTCCATGCTTTCATATCAATGAAAATTGTTTCAAACAGAATTCATGGCTAAAAGGATTTAAGAAAAACTTAACCTGGTCATGGATTTTGAGAAGTCAAAAGTAAAGAAGTTTTGTAATCTGTGGGTAAGCTGCAAGAATTGAACTCAGAAAAATACTGATTATCAAACTTTTTAACAGGCTGTAAAAACTTAGAGAAAAATGACAATTGACATCTGCCTACACAGAATTTTAACTTTTTTAATGTTGTTGATCCATATTTCCCTACAAAATACAAAATATGCCACTTATAACATTTTAAAATCATTTGTATTGCCCTAGTGTTGGTGAAAACCACAAATATTTTGATATGGAACCATTCATTCAATTATAGATTGTTTTAAGATTGAAATATAAATGTCCCTACCAAAACATACATTTTTTTTTTTTGCCATTCTAGTCAAAATAACAAACTTTATATTTTGTTTTAGATCTTCTTTCAGACAACAGATAAGGATTAGCAACACCCACCATTTAAAAAGTTTAGAAAACTCTAATTTTTCTAATATTTTCCAGGTTTGGCATATTTCTAGTCAAATTCTATGGGACTATTTAGGAAGATATATGGAATTCTGAAAGAATCATCAATTGGTACTAACAGAAACCGTTTACATAGAGGTGCTCAACCAAAAAGAGATTGAAAAAGATATTTTGATGTCAAATTTTGGGAAGTAGGTCAGGCTGAGAACTTTTCAGCATATCCTTGTAGTTTGACAGTTGAATGAGAAGAAATTTTCTTAATACTTTTTTTGTGTCATAGAGAATTGTCTCTGTTTTTATTTCTTTTATACTTTTCCATGTTCAGTTTTTACTTCTATTTTTAAATTTTGTTTTATTTTTAGATTCATAAAGTGACTCTGATTCCAGGCGATGGCATTGGGCCAGAAATTTCAGCATCTGTTCAAAAAATCTTTGCTGCTGCCAATGTAAGCAACACTGTGATTTTTTTCTTTTATTTTTTCCTTCACATTTTCTTGTTATTTTACAATTTTTTTTATTTTAATTAATGAATTTGATCATGCGATTTGAAACTCTTAAAATGAAACTTCTTAGTTTTTGTTGACCTGGAACTCTCTCTTGATCAAATTTAAATTACCAATGTAAAACATTTCTTTCAGGTTCCAATCGAGTGGGATCCAGTGGATGTTACTCCTGTCAAAGGACCCGATGGAAAATTTAGGCTGCCCCAGAAGGTTTTTGAATCAATGGCTGTTACAAAATGTGGTTTGAAGGGTCCTTTAGCTACCCCTGTGGGCAAAGGTCATCAGTCACTAAATTTAGCTCTGAGAAAGTAAGTGTTTTAAATCTTTCTTTATAACTTATTCTAATTGCTTTTGTTATTCGGGATCAGAACAAATAGCAACATCTGTTTACTTTGACTCATTATTAAAAGGTAATTATTACCAGAGCAGCTTAGCTTGCAAAATGACTGAATCTTAGGAAAAAATTACCTCCAATTTTAATCAGTTGAAAAATGAAAAATACACAGGTAAATGATCACTTTGGAATGCTTCCCTATGAAGATTTCAATAAATACAACATTGCGTGTACTCTGTAGGCCCTAAAGTTATTGAAATATCTTTTTTTTTCTCTTTATAAGAAATCTTATAATTCATTGTCATTATCACTAAAATTTAAGCATCATCTTGGGTAATATATCAAGTTGTTATACAAGTTTGTTGTTACTTCAAGCTAAATGAAAAAGTATTTTTAGATTTGTAATAAAAGTTAAGTTTTTAACAAAATCTATCAGAGAGATAAAATTTAAATTTTTATTATTGCATTATTCCAAAATTTTAACACATCAACAGATAGCTATTAATGTCAACAACTCAGCAGAAATAGTTATTAATAAAAAAAATAGTAATTAATGTGTAATATTATCCATAACTACATGTACAAGAATATCATTTTTGATAGAAGTTAAAAAAATAACCACAAATACATAAAAAATGTGTATATTGTTGAAAATTCCTTTTACTACAATATAGCTATTTGTGCTATATTATAATGCTTATTACCTAAACAACAATAATACTGAATAATTTTTTTTTTTTAAACATTAAAGTATATTTAATCACATCTCCCTAATATCTGTTGTGATCTGTTAGTATCTGTCATAGAAAAAATAAACTGCATCTCCTGCAATTCAATAACATTGTGCAGATGACGATATTAATCAGTAAATAATCAACTTTGACTGTTTTGCCTGCCTTATAGTTATCAATTTCCAATCAAGGTACTTTTATTCAGTTTTAGAATTTATTGTATTTACTTTGAGAGTATAAAACTATTCCAGTCTGTGTCTTATGTCAATGAATTACTTGTGCGTAATTTTAAGCTAATTTTGTAGGATGGATCAGAGACTGATCAGCTGTGATGGGGTCGACTTGGTGAGGGCAATATGATGATGTTTGAAAGATTCAAAACTGCCCAATGATCCAAATCAGAATATCACTGACAATGTCCTCTAGTGCTAAAGAGCGTATATTCAAAACTATTTTAATAATAATCTGGAATTTTTTTTTTTTTTTTTTTTTTTGGTTGATATCTTATAACTATTGATATTTACTCAGATTAAAGCCACAAATGGGGAGGGGGTCACCCAGTGAACATGTCAAGTTTGGTAAATAGCATTGATTAAGAATTATTAGAAAAAACATTTTTCAAACGAATTGATAATTAAAGGCCTTTATTTGTATCTTTTATTTCACTTACTTTACAGAGCCTTCAGTTTGTATGCCAATGTCCGTCCATGTAAATCTGTTGAGGGCTATGCTACACCTTATGAAAATGTGGATTTGGTGACTATCCGGGAAAACACAGAAGGAGAATACAGTGGCATTGAACATGTGGTATGTATCAGTTTCTAACACCAGTTTTAAGACTTCATTCAGCCAAGGTTTCCATTAAAAACTAGTGAAGTCTTGATAGTATAACAACCACTCTGCAAACCTATCGCCACCTTCTGCAGGTGGAAATAGAAAGGTCAAGGAGAAGAACCAGAAAACGTCTACAGTCTGTCTCCCTTATGTCAAGGGTTTACCAGAAAAGATACAGAAGATCTGTGGTCCATATAACATCAAGAACATATTCAGATGCAGCTCCAAGCTATGAAAAACCTCTGCAGAGTCAAACCTAACACTGATGAGAACATGTCAAGAATTCTATGTACTCCTTTACTTGCAGTTGTGTCAAAGAATATAAAGGTGAAACTAGCACCCCCTAAATGTATGGCTATAGGAACATTTGAAATGTTGTAATTAGGGGTAAGACATTGAATTCAGGCATGGCTGATCATGTATGAAGGAAAAAGTGTAGTCATCAACCCCTGTGGAATTAAGTAAAAATACTGGATAGAGAGGAATACTTGAGTCGTATATCTAAATGAATTGGCGCATATGTTAGGCTATGAGGACCCCCCTCAGTAGACCTAGAATAGAAATAAGTACAATATAGGTGCCATTAATAAATAACAAAAGAGAAATAAAAGGAAGGCTTTAACAACAACAGTTGTTACAGTAAAAAGTGAAGCTTCAGTGAGTGCAGTCAAGCATGACAAGTAGTAGCAGCAGCACTCATCAGCAGACAGGTTAGGTTCAAGGCTCCAAGTTCTCCAGTCAGAATTATCCCATGGAAAAATAGCCTAGCAGATTAAAATGTTGGTTTGAATTTGGTGACATAAAAATTATGAGTTCAAACTCTGTGCTAGGCAGTGTGTGCTTGGACTCTGTGACAACAGGGTGAGCAATAACTGGGATGTACTAAATAAGAATTAGACTTATTGTCCCTAAAAATGGACAGCAATATAGATTAAATAAAGGGTTCAGTTCAAAATTCCCTAAATGTTACCTAGATTAACAATCACCTGATGAAGGCTGGAGTGTACAACGGCCGAAATGTTGTGATAAGAGATGGGGATATATAAATAATAGTATTTTCTAATCTATGTATATAAAATACAATGTGTATTCATTTCATATGTAGATATAGTATGGGTAACACAGAATATTTGAGATTTGATTTGGTTGCAATGGTATATCTAATGAGTCTCTAGCACTTTAAATGTTGATCATGAAGATATTTCTGAAGTAATTTACAACTTGTTGATATCCATCTCTTTCTCAAATGTGTGTTACTTTTAGGAGTAGCTCAGAAGATAGTTGCAAATGTGTTCTGCTAAATGTTGGATCCCATTATTAAAAGTCAATCAGTTTTTAGGTCAGAATTCCATTTGTATTTATATATGAACCAGTTTTACCTGCTGAGCATCGAGAGATCTTTAACCTTATAGCAGTCAAAACAAATATGCCAATAGAAAAGATATGCTATTTTTAAAAATGTGTAAAACTATCTTGAATTATTTTTTTATTCTGTGAATGTATAACTTTGTGGGTTTTTTAAAAAATATTTATTATCTTCCATAATAAAGGAGTTGGTTTTAATCTTGACTAGGAATGGCTGCAAAACACTTGCCCCTCCCTAATAGGTAGAAACACACAAATGCATACTGGGTTTTTTTTCCTAGCCAATAAAATAGGCTGGTTCTCGGTTTCATCTGACTCAGTCCCAGTATGTCTTGTGTTGAAGTTAGAATGCTGCATCCGCTTGTCGGAACTTGCTTTTGTGTGTCAACCTCAGTTCTTAGTTTGAGAATTTTTTGCCTTTTTACTGTTGCTTTGCTTTGCATATATTGGTTACTTGCTTTATATTATTTTTTGCCCTGTATCACTTTTTCTTTTTTGTTATTGTTTATTCCAAACTTTGTCAGTTCTGTTTGTTGGACAGTTCTGTTGATAATTTTGCATTTAATCATGGCCTACTTACTCCACAAAATGCTTTTGTAATAAATATGGAAATATCTTCTGATAATTTTTAAACTACAACAATTTACTTCTCCAATGATTTATTCACCTAGTGATATGGTTTTTACCTTAAAGTAACTCCACTTTTTAAATATCAAAAGAATTACATGATAGTAGGAAAGTTTCTTCTGAGCTGTTAAGTATTTGTGTCCATTTCAAATAAACTCTCCACAATCAACACATATCCTAATTCAGTGATTTCCAAACAGTGCGACACACCTCATAGGTGCCATGGAAAAGGATAGCAGGTGAGGTAGAATGATTGAAAGACAAAGATTTAGAAACGGTTTCAAAAAATTCAAATGCCAAAAATAAATATGGCTTCAAAATTTAAAATATTATGAATTACTTGGCATTGTATGCATGAGTCCCTGTATAACTAGTTATAAATAATTATTGATCAATTTTATCATTGTGATATTTTTGCATTATATCAAGTACTAGCAGTATAGCCCGACATTGCCCAGGGATGTAACAGTAAGAGATGGATCAAGTTTCGACCATCATAAAGACTAAAAAATAAAATTGACAAAGATTATTGTTTAAGGTTGACGGACGCGCATGTCTTAATTAGTTTTTTTTTTTTTTGTCTTCTTTTTTTTTTCTTTTTTTTTTTACGAATTGGTCAAGCCCAAACTCAAACAAAAACATTGTTTTCAATCGTTATGAGTCTACCGATTGAATAGAATTTTATTATAAACAATTGTCTTGTAAATGGAATTTTTAAAGCATTCTGAATGTAAAAATAGCGAAAAAAAAGTGTGCAAAACAATAAGAAACACTATCTGCCAAAAAAAAGTGAAGTTTTGTTGAAATTGGTTGAAAAATGTAGGAAATCTGATCCCATATATAAAGGAACACACACACACACAACCTGCGTTTTATAATAAGTATAACTTGATATGAGTTGTCCCCCTTTCTCACAACAGCAATGCCTCTTAATCGTATTTTCAAATTGATTTCGTGCAAAAACAATTGTTTTTTTCCAATTTTTGGCGCTGTCAGCACCACCACAAGGTAATTTTACGTAGTCCTGTGAAGTTTTGTTAAAATCAATTGAAAAATGTAGGAAATCCAATCCAATATATAAATGAACACACACACACACAACCTGGATTTTATAAGTATGATTAAGAATATAGTAACTGTGGTCTACAAATTGGAGGAGAGCGTTATCAATGATAATGTTCTGACTTCGAATCCGCGGTTATCTCCCTTTAACCCTCTCTCTGTTTTTTATTTTTAAATGTACTTTTTATTACATGAAATTTGGTGAGATGTGAGTAAATTTTCATTCTGAAAATGTGGACCAAAAGGGGAAAAAAGTTTGGGAACCACTGGCCTAATTCTTTAATAATCTCCGAGTTATTCTGTAAATGTTTCCAGCCGATTTAAAATGAACAATGTATTCTAGTATGTATTCAGTCTTAAGTTTTCAAAAAGCATGCATGCTGGAAACGTTTTCATACATCCAAGATGTAAGTGCAGCACTTCATGTAATGGTTTGCATAAAATAGCATCAGGTTGTTTAAATTATTTTTCTATGTGTCCATGGCTCTTGTTTTGTAGATTGTTGATGGTGTTGTTCAAAGCATAAAGCTGATAACAGAATCTGCATCCAGACGTGTGGCTGAATATGCCTTCAAATTTGCTCGTGACAACAAACGATCCACAGTCACTGCTGTACATAAAGCTAATATCATGTAAGTGTATTACCATTCACTGTTTGGTTGCAAAGGTAATCTTCTGTTGATGCATTGTTACCTGGGTTAAAATAACAGATCTTCAGGTTGGTGTTGTATTATGGGAAATAAAGTTCATATTAAAAATAAAAAGTGAGAAATTATTAAGGTAACATTATTTTTTTTAATTTATTTAGTTTTGAGATATTGAACCCATGAAGAACTTAGAATAATAGAAAAAGACCTTCATGGATTGTAAAATTTTATGAAAAAATTGAAAACATAAAAACTGTATTGGGTATATCCTGTGTAATTATTAATATAAATATTTTACTGATAGTTAATGTAAGAAATATTTGATTTATAATATTATTTGTATAAATTTTATTTTAGAAACAGTCAGTGTGGGTATGTGTGTGCGTGTCTAAAGTTAAAATCTATTTTGTTATTGTTTAAACACTGAAACATTTTGTGATATTCTTTCTCATAACTTATCATTGCCAGGAATGAAATTAGGTTTTTGTAACCATCACTGTATATTTGTATTTTTATAAAATCCACAATTTCAGTTTTTTACTGTGAACTGAGAAGAGAGAGAAACTCATTTGCATTTTAATAGTCTTAATAGATTCTTTCTTGGTGCTCTTGAAATAAATTGTAAATTCTTTTTTCATTTCCAAGAAACCATTTTAGACAATGTATATTATGTTGTAATTTTGATTTTTTTTAAAATGACCAAACGATCTTTATACACTTTCCTATGTGAAATTTTATTTTCTGTAGGAAAATGTCTGATGGTTTGTTCCTGCGATGTTGTCGGGATGTTGCTGAAGAAAATAAAGATATACAATTCAGGGAATCATACCTAGACACTGTCTGTCTAAATGTAAGTCTATTTTTTTTCTTAAAAGAATATATCCACTCTTTTTTTTTTTTTTTTCCTCTCTCTCACTCATACACAGAAACACACACACACACACAATGATCAGAGTTGAATTACATCAGGAAACAGTAGTATTAAAAAGTGCTCAATACACGTATAAATAAAATAAAAATTTAACATGCAGAGCTTTAAATTTGATAAAATTACATCAGCTGATCACGCTACCTTGCATTGTTTAAAAATAAATAAACAAACAACAACGTAAAGTGTAATAGAAGGGGGGGAGAAAAGCAAGGGTATTGAAATTGTATCGGAGGTGGGGGGGGGTGTTGTATGAAATATACATGTTTTCATCCTGGTTCAAACAATCTCAATAGGAATTTTTATTTTTTTGAATATAAACAAGAGGAAAACTCTTAGCTGAAGTGTTTTGTTATCCGACAGACTTTATCAAGGCAAATGTGATGATTTTATTTTGCAACAAGTAAATATATGGGAGTTAGTCAAAGCTTTTATATTTAAGAACACTCAAATATTCATTAAGTTAACAGAAAAGTTTGTGTTAGATCCTAGATTACAACATATAGCATCTTTGAAAGGAAATTTTTAAATGAAAACTAAATATAGTTTTCCTCTTGTCTTTTCATTCATTTTGTCCCTTTTACAGATATTCCATGTGAGAATATTTACATATATAGGGTTTGATGGATAAACTGTCGTCTAAATTATGCAAAAATGAAAATAACACTGACATCTCATTTTAACAGATATATTTACCAAAATTACACAAAAATATGAAGTACTAAAGAGTAAATTCATTCAATAAAATCACCATTGTGTTCAACCAAGGGCTCCAGATGACTTTGGAATCTCCTGCAACTCTTTTGGGCAGTCTCCTTGTATAAATTGGTGAATGCTGCCATAATCCTTGCCTTCAGTTCACCTTTGGTGTTACAAGGAGTTTTGTTGGACTGCACCCCACACATAATAATCAAGTGGGTTGCAGTCTGGGGAGTTAGGTGGCCAGATGTAAGGGGTGATGTGGTTGTAGAAATTGTCTGACAGCCATGACTAGGTTTTCCTGCTTGTGTGACATGGAGCAGAGCCTTGTTGCCAGACATAAGGTCTCCCAGCAGCCATCCTCTTGACGCAGGACAGCATTCCCTCCTCAAGGCACTTGATGTAGGCTTCTGTGTTGAGTCTGAAGCCCTGTGGGAATATGAATGGAGGCATAGCATCACCATCACTAGTGATCACTCCAAACAACATGATGTTGACTGTATATTTGGTTTTCATCACTCTTGGTCCATCTTTTGGGGACACAGCATCTTCCACACTGTCCTCAGATTGACACCCAAACACTCTGAAATGTTCATATTGCAGCTTCCAGCACAAATGCGAAACAGTTCAGCATGTTTCCAAATTTCTTGCTAAGTGAATTGAATCATGGTGCACTTTTTCTCACATCAGTGCCCAAATGACCCTACTATATTGTGATGTTGACAAAAGCAAACAATGGCCATGCACAAAATAAAAAAAAATATATATATATATATATATACATACATATAATGGCGACAATTTACCCATCGCACCCTACACACACACACACACACACATCCTATGTGTGGTGTTACTTCTAAGCTCTTCTGGTTCTGAAGTGCAAATAAAGTGCTTTTTATTGTTTATGTATTATAAATTTTCTTTCAGTTTATGTACCAATTTTAATGATAACCTTCTGCTGTCATGTTTTACTATTTTCTTAAAAATTATCTTTCTTTTAATATTTTTTAATTTATCAATATTTTCAATAACTTTATTTCATCAGATGGTACAAGACCCTTCCAAGTTTGATGTGTTGGTCATGCCAAATCTTTATGGTGATATCTTGAGGTAAAGCCCAGTCTTTAGGAAATTGTTCTTTAATTCTTGCTTCAAAAGATTTTCTAAATTCTATTTTTTTTTCTTTGTCTAGTGTTATTTCTACCTTTTGGAAATATATTTTTCATTTAATAATAGTGTTTTTTGGTTTTTACCTTAAAATACGTTTCTACCAATATGGGTATATATATATATATATATATATATATATATATATGGATTCTTCCTCTAGGAATTTTATTAAAAAAATATACATGTATGGGTATTTATATATTTTGCATATGTATGTATATTTGCCATTATATATATATATATATATATATATATATATATATATATATATATATATATATATATATATATATATATATTTTATATTTCAAAAAACAATATTGGGGAAAATGTTTGAAAGTGGGAAAAGTTTTCTTGTGATGTATTTCATCTTTTAGGACTTCATTGGACTAAATTTGTTATGTTGGTACAACTACACATGCACACAAACAAGGGATGCTGGGAATTTTGGAATATTTATTTTATATCTAGTCAAAATACTAAACAAAGCAATAAGCTAAAACCTGAAGGAAGGATTTACTTTATCACCTGTAATAATTGTCACAAAAAAATAGATAAGAGAAACCTTAAGAATGCTACTCTGATCAAAGGAGAAAACTGCTACATAACTTTTTAGAGAGTGTCTTGATCACAGGTCATCTACAGTAAATTTGTACCCTGGCTTTTACAATGTTTCACCATTCCTGGCTGAATGACTATTATCACAGTGTGGGATACATTCTAACAAAACTGATGGAAAGAAAAACACTCTGAATTTGGCCAGATATATAAAAAAAAAAAAAAATTCTAAAATTCACAGCTTTTTTTTTTCTCTCATTTGTATACCAATATAATGAATTCATGTCTGATGAAGAACAAATGTATCACAAGTAAACATTTCACACACACACACATATATATATATATATATATATATATATATATATATATATTCAGTTGTATGGATATTGGCTTGTGACCCTGGGTTTCACACTTTTGCCATCATTAGACAAACTTGAGTTTGTCTGATGATCCTAAAAAGGGCGAAAACCCAGGATCACAACCTAATATCCATACAACTGAATATGTTAGCTCTATCACTGATATTGAGCACATTCAACTAAGTACTTCATATATAAAATATATTCTACAGTTCAAAAGTTTGAATCCACGCTCAGAATTAGCATGGGATGACTTTGACAGAAGACTGAAAAAAATAAACGGAAAGAGTCCTTAGTCATTAGAAAGAAGAATCGAATCAAATATCAATTATACTTCGAGAAACGTTTTTGAATGCCAAAAATTTGTGCTGCAGTAATCAAGGCTAAAGGAGGATATTTTGATGAGACAAAAATTGAATCATAAAATGCTTTCTTTTTCTTTTCTTTTTTTTTATAATAAAATTTAAAATAAAAAATCATGTCACTTTTTTTACTTTTCTTTTTTTAAACATGTATAATAATTTTCTCTTATTTAAAGTACAAAACAACTAGTTTTTGTGAAATTTAAAAAATTACCAGGGGTTTCCTCAAACTTTTGAACTGTATAAGTGGCTAAGTGAATGGCAAAATGGAAGATGATTTTCATTTTGTCATTTATATCCACACTATTTGATATATAATTCTTTTGTCAGATCGAAAATCAAAATGGAGTGGAGGGTTTGCCTGTTACAGAACAGTGATAGTTTGGGAATTTTCTTTACTTCTGACATTGAAGTAACAGCTTCATACAGTAATTCCTGTTAAAAATGTCTCCTCTTATAAATCTGTTTATGCAACTTGGTTAGATTCGCTTGCAGTATTAATCTGCTTCTTATCAATCAATTCTCAATACATATGGCCAGAGGGTTTTTTCTTTTCTCCAGAAACTTTCATCTTTTGATACCCACTGCCCTTTAAGTCACTAAAGATATCTCATGGTCTCATGAAAATATAACATGTTTGTTTTTTACATACAAAAGAATTATACACAAATTGAAATGTTATATATAAATATATATAAATATATATTGAAACGTAATTTTTTTTGTTCTAATCCTTCGGGATACAAAGTTAAAAAGATTCTTGTAAATGACTGTCATTTTTGTAATCTGTTTAAGCTTTTATTTTGTTTTTCTTATTGATTTAAACATAATTCTATAATCTCAAAAACCTGGTAAATAATTAAAAAGAAAATAATTAGTAAAAAAGCTTTTCCTTGAATAAAGTTTAAACCTTGATATTTGCTTTTGGTGTTTTGTTTTTTTTTTTTTATCTTTGAGGTTGACTAACTTTTTTTTTTTTTTTCCCTCATTTATTTTAGTGATTTGTGTGCTGGTCTCATTGGTGGCTTAGGCGTGACTCCCAGTGGGAATATTGGTGAAGATGGTGCCATTTTTGAATCTGTAAGATCTGTTTAACAACTGATTTCAAACAAAAACAATATGTTCATTCTGATGAATTTACAAAAATTCTTGGATAATTTTATACTGAAAATTACAAAGCATTTTTAATTTTCATGATTCTTTTATCACACTCATACTCCTTGTTATACTCACACTGTAATATATTTAGTGATGATGTCCATTTTATCTTACCAATTGTTACTAATAGATGGAAACAAAAAAACGAGTACCATTATCAGCTGGTGGTAAAACAGGGACAGAATAGAATATTAAGAAGTGAAAGCAAGTCAAATATAGTGGCTGCTATTAGACTGACACAAAAAGTATGCAACATTTTTTGATAAAATTGTTTATTCATTTAAATTTATAGCATTGTTATTTAGCCCTCAGTGTACTACTTTCCCATACATTCTATGACCTTTCAGCTGAATTGTGTCTTATGTCTTAAAAAAAGATCATGATTTTGATTTAATAACCTCTTCATGTTCTTAAAATTGTTGGAACTGCTGATCCAGGAGTCTTGTATGAAACAAAACAAGGTGACTGGTCTTGTGAATCTGCCACTTATGGAAGAACTTCTCATCCCACCTGTATTAGCATTCCCAATCAAAGGATGGGTTATGCAGTAAATGCAGAGTTCTAGCAAGTCATAAAGAATTTTCATTGAATCACACCAAATATCCTGTAGATTCAGTTTAGGTTGAAATGATGAAAAACTCCTATTTAGACACTTTTTTTTTTTTTTTTTTTTTTTTTTAATGTGTCAGAATTTTCACCCTAATGCTTGTACACAACCTACTACAATTGCCTTTATTGTTACAATGTGAGGAGCGTCAGTCTATTTTAAAAAAAACTTGACAATAATGTTTCTTAAAAGTGTACATAAAAAAAATATAACACCACCAAACCTTCAGTGAACTGGCAAAACTTATTTTTAAAGAATTATGGTCTTAGAGGAAGTCATTTAACGATGTCTTTGTCATTGGTTTCTTTCAATAATGTGATCAAATTTTAAAATAATTAAAATTCATCATTGCATAACTCTATTATTATATTCATTTATTTTTGTTTATTTGTAGGTTCACGGCACAGCCCCGGATATTGCTGGTTTGGATATGGCTAATCCCACAGCACTTTTATTAAGTGCTGTTATGATGCTACGTCACATGGGCCTTACAGAACATGCAGCCAGGATTGAAAGAAGTGCATTGGATGTTATCAAAGAAAGCAAAGTAAGGTTTCTTTTGTTTTATTTCTTCATTCCATTTATTTTCTACCTACCTTTATTGTGCAGCCTCTTCCTACAACTTATTATTCAGCGCACTAAAGTTATTTCTATACTATAAGAAATAAAAACAAAATTCTTGTCTATCAGACAATTTTAAAAATTACATTAAAAACAGAAAAATATAAATAATACTGGTTAACAGTAATTCTTGTTAATGAAATATAAAGTACAAACATAATTTTTGGAGTTACCTTCATCATTTAATCACTAAAAGGCATTTCATAATTTTAAATTATCTTGCCAATACTATAAATCCTTTCAGTCAGTGCATACCTCAGCATTACCAAAAATGTAATATTCTTGGCATTGCCTCTTAGTTGTGTTATTGATCTTCATGATGATTGCATGTAGACATCAGTTTGCTGCGAGGTCATTAAGTTTTACAGTGATTTCTCCCAGTGGCGGTTGTGATTCCCACTGAGCATTTAAGTGGGACTCTCTCAACAAGATAAAACATATACAAGAATTTAAAAAGTACATAACAAATAAGGAATTATTAATTTTTCTATGTAGCCTGAGTGATGACATTTTGACAGGTAAGTTTTCTAACAGTAATTTGTAGCAATATGAGGCACTTGTTTATCTGGGCTCGTGTCTCTGTGTTCAGTAGTGGTAGGAGCAGTAAGATGAGTGAACCGTGAAATGGACTATTATCTTTTTCCTCTACTTGTCATTTGGGTCACATATTTTTCTCTGTTCTACTGTTTGGATTTTTCTGCTACATCCATCACATTTCTATAAAAAAAAAGATTTGTGCATCCTTGACATTGATTTATTGCATATTTTTCAATATGTTCGTATGAACTTTGTCCAGTAACACATAGCTCTTTTGAGAATGTGATCATGTCAATCCCCAAAACTGAATTTTGGTAATGAAATGAACATTATAGAGAGGAAGTATTTTGTATAAGCAAATCAAGAATTCTTCTTTAGACTTTGGGAAATATCAGAAAACCATGAACTTTTGTCGCATTACCCTAGAAGCAGATGGGTGGGTTGAGGATGATCTAGCCTTACTAAATCTTAATGAATTCTACTTTTGGTTTATTTCAGGTTCGAATCTTGTAGTCTTCTCTGAATTAATTTTATGGCTCCTAATTATGATTTTTAATCTGTTCTTTCTTTCTTTCTTTCTTTCCTTATTCTCTTTAACACTCAGGTTCCCTTGAGCTTTTTCCACTGTTTAATCTTTTTTTTTTTTCCTGCTCAAAATTATCATTAGGTATTCTCATGTAATAAAATGTTATAGTCAATCATGCAATGAAACATTGCCACCCTGTTATATGCTAGAAAATAATTTAAAAGAAATGAAAACTTAACTATTTTTAAGTGGATGAATTTTTCTTTTCCCCTCATCCAAAAGCTTTTAAAAATTTTTCTTTTTCTTTTTTTTTTTACAGTATCTTACCAAGGACCTTGGAGGTAATGCCAAATGCTCAGAGTACACTAATGAAGTTTGTGCTCGCCTGTGACACTAGGAAGTTATAGTCTACCTTTAGTAAATTACAAACCAGGTTTAGTGGTATATAATAATACTTTTGGTTGATCTTTGGTTGCTTTCTTCAACTAGTGACAGTCGTTATGAAAATTTCCTTTTTTGGTTATGAATTTTATTTCCAGCCTTTCCTCTTGTAAAAAAACACAAAAGAAAAAAAAAAGTCTTTTTTTAAAAATTTTATTTTAAGCCTTCTAAATCAAAAACTCCATTTTGTTATAAATACTCTTTTTTGTTTCATTGTAATAATGCATTGTTGTTATATTTTGTTATAATGTTTCATTTCTATTTTTTATATTTTTAGTTTGATTAAGGATCATTTAAATATGAAGATATATTTAAAACATTGTAATTTTCTTTTTGGTTAGTCTACTCATCTCTTGCATGTTTATCTTTAAACCCCCACCTCCCCTCCTGAAAAATCACAATTTTTTTTCCAACTTTTACCAAGTCGACCTGATGTCCTGCTTGTCAGGCACAATGATCTCAAGATGAAACTTGAGTAAAAATGAGTAGATCAACCTAAACAAAACATTTCTGGATCTTTAATGATTGTCATGACAAAAAACACAAATCCTTTATTTTTTTAATTTCAGTTAAGATTTGATTAATTATTAATAAAGAAAAGAATACAAAAACAATTATTTGCTGACAACTTTCTATTGAAATTATCAATATTTGGACGTAAAATAACAATATAAAAATAACCTTAGTAAATTGTTAGCCATAAGCAAATATACAAATGCCAGCGACCTGGTCAATTCATTTAATTTAAGCCATCAATCAATTTCTATATTCTACAAACATCACATGTTAAAACCAAGATGCCATCAGTCTTTCTAGACATATAATAGATGTTTTACCCTTTCTCAATAAATACAGTCAAAAAGAAAAAGACATTACTTGGACTACCTACTGTAGTCACAACTAAGATCAATAAAGTGGTTGAAATGCAGGATTAGAGCATAAAAGCAATGCTACAAAATAATTGTTGACTTGGAGCAACTCTAGTTTTAACAAAATTTAATCCAATCTGCTGATAAAGTAACCAAATATTCATGAAATTCAAGAGAAAATAATTTTGATTTTAAACAGTTTTATATACATTTTGTTTTGTTTTTTTTTGTTGTTTTTTTAGAAATGAAATTAAATTCTTCAGTCAATTCTTTGAAAATTTTGCAAACAGAACATGTGAAAAGGGCTTTGAAATTCATTGGTTAAAATAATGAAAAAATTATAATCTTTATTGTAAAAAAAAAAAAACAGGAACAAAATAATCTCTACATAGAAACTTGCATTTTGAAAATATGAAATTTTCATAAACAACTCATTGACATTTTGTTTTTAGAAAAAGAAAAAACTTTGCTTACATAATGATTTCATTGTTTGTAACATATATGAGATTCTACCATTGGAGAAAATGATCTCAATTTGAAAATAACTGTTTGAGATTACTTAATAAATTTAGAACTATTTTTCATCTTTGGAGTTGAACAACAAGAAAGTATAATTTGACTCATTTTTTTTTTATTCTGTTCTTTTAAAGAAGAAAAAACTTGTTTGAATTTATTTATTTTTAATTAATCACTTTGAATCAAGGAGGTTACCAGATTGAGCTACAAGTAGTGAAATGGCCATAGTTAAAAACTCAGTACTGCTGAATTTTGAATTAATTATTACCTTATTTCTAGGCCAGCTTATTTTCAAAGTAATTCCAAAAGTTACAATTAGCAAAATTAAAAATTTAATTACACTGACCTTTCAAAAGTATCCCAATCCAACAAATTTCTTTGTTCCATAAAAAAAGAGAGAAAAAAAAAACTGTTCCAAGTTGGACAAAGATATAATTTTTATCAATTGCAAATATTTCAAGAAAGAATGTATAATAAAATACTGAATATATATTCATTAGTGTTAGATAAAACATTGATGATTAACTAGATTTTAAAATAGTCAAACTGTGTTTTAGAGCAATAGTGAGCAAAAGCTAATTTAGTAAAAGACTAAGTTCAATCCTCATTAAGTGCTTAATTACTTCTGCCTTGTATCAGACATATATGTTGACACATGTACAGTGATTACAATTTTTTTGTTCTTTCTTGCATTTTAACTTATTTGATTAGACGGGTGTATCAAGTAAGACATTTTTCTTGCAAATAGCTGATGTTTCTGATTTTGATGTGGCAGGATGGGAAGCCAAAACAAATTTTTATGTCCTGTTTGTTAGATATATTTTATCTCATTCCTTGTTTGGATAACTGACACTTTTTATTTTCATTTGTTATTTATTTTGTTATTTTGTAAAGATCAAAACCTGTGTTTTTTATTTGGATGATAGGATTTTTTTTTTCTTTTGGTGTTAATAAAATTTGGAAACCAACAAAATTTTTTAAAAGAATTGTTTCAAAATATATTTTTCTTTTTATAATTTTTTGATTTATTAGCAAGAAAAGAAGTAATTTGGTGCCATTATCACCATCTTTACTTGTTTGTTACAACTGTGCTGAATTTTATTTCTGTTTTCAAGATGTAATACTGAATGCAATGTCTTGAATAAAATCAAAACTTGCTTATGTTATATACAGGTAAATATACATATGCATACTAATCTTTGTTGGTAAGAAATCTTTTCAACAATTTCTTGTATATGCTCATATTTCATAATTGGATTTGAGAGGAAAAATAAATGACTATTAAAATTTTTCCATTGTTTAAATATAAAATGACCTGCAGTTGTACAATCAAAAACATGGTTTAAAATTTGGAGGCCAACAAAGACTAGGTAAATTATTAAAATTGTAACCTCTGGTTGCCTTTGTTGTAACTATTTTGACTGATAAAAACAATGTTAAAAATGTTGTTTATACAGTTAACCTATTTAATTTGTTCTTATAAAGGATTTTCTAAATGGTGGATCATATAACCAAATGCAGCACAATAGAAAGAACCAAGGTGAAGATAATGGAGCCTGGTTGTGTGCTGAAAAGTTTGTGACCCGACCCATTTCCCAAAATCTGACCAAATGACCACACCATTTTGGGAACCATTCTTAGTTAGGCTGAGAATTTTTCAGCACCTATATAATCAAAATCATTTTTTTTTTTTTTTTTTTTTTTTTACTTTTGCAGTAAACTTTTTAGCCAAGTGATTCTGTCTGAAGTCTGAATTTCTATTATAATTTAACCTTTTGTGTGTAATTTACTTTACAAAAGGCCGTAGTCACTAAACTGCTCATTCATCAGTAGTTCTGAATAAGATTTTTCTCTCCTTACTATTCATTGTTTTAGCTTTTTCATTTTTTTTTTTTTTTTTTTTTTTAAATATTATTTCATAAGTACTACTGCATTTATTCATTTGCTAAAAATGGTATGGTTAATTATTGCATTTTAAAATGCATGGTATTTATAAAACTGTTGAAAAGAAGGGCTGAAAATTTAGATAAACTATTTTATAAGTTTTTTTGTTTTTTTTTTTAAGAAATTTATCACAGATTGGCATGTGAACTTTAGTTGTAGCTTCCAGTTTTTACTCTAAAATGAAATCTACAGATTTTTTTCTTTTTTTAAATTAAAGCAAATTAAATAAGGTGCCTCATGAGCTGGTCTTGTGGATCTTTGCTACTGAAAATGAATTCGGTCCTCATTTTGAATTCTTGTGTTTAATATGATGATATCTATCATGGTTAGCAAGCTTGTCATGCAGACTTATTTGTTAGTGTAGTTGAATTTGTTCCTCACTGGGTGCCCCCACACCTTTGACCTTTGTGTTCTGTCAATAAGCGGGGTAGCTGATCATGGAATAATGGTTAAGAAGCTAGTAGTGAGTTCAGTCCTCACTGGGTGCTCCACACTTGTGACATATTAAATAAGCTGATTAAATAAACGTGGAATGTTTTACTTTTTTGTTAACAAAATTACAAATGAGATTATAAAGCTGTTTTTTTGGATAAAGGATTTTTTTTTTAAGATAAAATTGATTTGGCTTAGAATGAATATTTTGTCTGTGTCTCTCTCTCTCTCTCTGAATTTTCTAGTATTTCCTTTTGTACATATTTGAAAAAAATTCCTGATACTCTAATAATATTATTATTATTATTACTACTACTGAAAGAAGATACCAATTAATATTTTGATTAATGTTTATGTCTTGGTGCTTTGAATTTTGCCAAACTTTTGCTTGAACATTTCTGTGATAGTCTTTAAAAACTCTCTGGAAGTGTGAACCATTTTTATCTCCTGTGATTACTTGAATGCTAGAGTTATCTCCTCTTTATTTTCATCAGCGAACTTGTATAATTCAAATCCAGTGTTGTGACTGTTATCAAGCTAGCTGAACAGATCATTTTTATTGTAGTGAATGAGACTCTCACTGGGTGTTCCAAAATGGAGGCTTTCTGGAAAATTGAATTAAAATTAGAAAACAGATTTTATTTTTTTTTACCGATAAAGGTTTTGTGAAATTTTAATGATTTAAAAAAAAAAAAAAGTATTTGATTTTAAATTTAAATCAAATTTATACTTGTAAAATTTTCTTAATTTTCTTTCAAAGTTGTTCAATGTGGATGCTGTTGATACTCCACAAATACTAATCTCTCCTCATGATTAAATAATTGATAATCAGCAATTAAAACAAAAACAACTGACATTTTGGTGAAAAGTTGATTATCATATTTGGTGATTATCATATTTGATTATCACCCACTACCATTGGCCTTATTTATTTTATCTTATTTTTAATTAAAATAATCAACATATTTTAATTACTTGGTTTAGGCTTGGCTTTCTTGCTGGAGGATTTTATGCTGCTCAAGAGGATACCTGATTTTTTTTTTTTTTTTTTTTAAGAGTTCCTTCTTTCTAGAACAATTTTCTACATTGAGGCACTTAGTGGGATTTAGAAGTGGATTTCAACAATCTGCATGGTAAGGTATTTTATAAGGCATGGTATCTGAATGGTAAGGATTCATTAAATTTCTTA